AGGACGGGATCCTTTGGAGGACGGGATCCTTTGCAGGACGGGATCCTTTGGAGGACGGGATCCTTTGGGGGACGGGATCCTTTCCAGGATGGGATCCTTTGCAGGACGGGATCCTTTGGAGGACGGGATCCTTTGGGGGACAGGATCCTTTCCAGGACGGGATCCTTTGGAGGACGGGATCCTTTCCAGGACGGGATCCTTTGGAGGACGGGATCCTTTGGGGAACGGGATTCTTTTCCAGGACGGGATCCTTTGGGGGACGGGATCCTTTGGGGGACGGGATCCTTTGGGGGACGGGATCCTTTGGAGGACGGTTTCCTTTGGAGGACGGGATCCTTTGGGGGACAGGATCCTTTCCAGGATGGGATCCTTTGGAGGAGGGGATCCTTTGGGGGACGGGATCCTTTGCAGGACGGGATCCTTTGGAGGATGGGATCCTTTGGGGGACGGGATCCTTGTATTTTATTAAACTTTTTAGATTATAGTCAAGATGAAAAATAAAACAATATTTAGAAATGACAAGAAACAAGAAAATACAAAAGAAATAAAACAAGTATAACATAATTGTGGTTATGATGGCACCCATCATAACCAAAATTAGTCATGTATCACTGATGTGATGTTTCTCCATTTTTCCCATTTGTCTTCACATTGTTCTTCTTGTATCCTCAGTCTATGTGTTAGAATCTCTATCTCATATGATGTGTTCACAGTCACCTTTAGCTCCTGTTAAATCTCAGTCTTTGGAAGGTCTAATATCAGAGATATAACGCGGAGCTACATCATCTCTTTCTCAGGTATGCTAGCATCTCAGCGGCACAGAGAGAAGAAGCTAAATGAGCATTAAACTAATGTGCAAATGCAAAGTTCACTTCTCCTTAGAAAGACTGACTTGTGTTCAGAAAAGGAGCTACTCCAGATAATTATCAGCCGTGTGCCAGCATGGTTTAATCATCCTGAAAGTGTTGACTGGACAGAGCTGAACCTGTAAGCGCAGACAGCTAACAGAGCTCTCCATCAGTCAGGGGAAATCTGCTGCACCATAGAGGTCTGGCTTTTACTCTCTGCAGCAGCTTCTGCTAAAAGCAGGTTAACAGGGTTAGTAGAGGTTGTTTTTTTATGTGTTCACACTTTTAGCTGAAAGAAAAGGAA